TCTCTGCTCGGACCTCGCCCCGCTGCAGTGGCTCCACCGCATGAAGGACGCCAACGCCCGGATCACCCGGTGGTATCTGGCTTTACAGCTCTTTAAGTTCAAGGTGGTCCATAGGCCGGGGGCGCAGATGGCCGTGGCCGATTTCTTCTCTCGCTCACGGGGGGGGGGGGGGGGGGGAGTGGGGAGTGGGGGGGTTCGGCCGGACAGCTCCCCAGCCTCAGTCGGGCGGTGGGGGTGTGTGGCGGAGGTGTGGTCCCGGGCGCGGCTGCAAGGTAGGAGTGGTGCGGTGAGCTCAACCGGGCGGTGCTGCAGACACAGGTCAGAACAGCTGATGGCGTTTTGGACTGATGATGGTTTCCTTCCCTTTTATAGTGAGACGGGAGAGGAGAGGAGGAGCGGGAAATCAGCTGAGACCGACAGCTGTCAGACTGTGGCCGGTCATAACACAGGACGCTATAAATAAATGTGGCTTCTGGAGACAAAGACCTGTGTGTGTGTGTCCCTGTGTGTAGTGCATTTCACAGAGGTGTTTAAGGGTGACCTCACCCCTGCAGTTAGATGAGCTATCCCCCTCATTCCCAGACTCTACTTGTTCTATGGGAGACTTACCAGTTTCATTTCACAGCACGACAATGTTCTTAGTCGAAGTCAGTAGCACTTCACCCACACTATACACAGTGCAGGTAGAGCACCATTTTCTCATCCTTAGTTGCCTGATGGTTTGCCAGAATCTCTTCGAATCTGAAAGACTTTTTCCATGGCTTTCCAAACTGTGAGCCACTGCCTGAGCCACATTCTACTTGTACTGTCTGTACCTATCAACTGCCTTCAAAGTCTTACAGGCTAACCTGTCATGTTTCGGCTGTGTGCACGAGACACAACCTAAGAGCTAATCCCTCACCAAGAATAACTGAAACAGATCTATAATAATAATAATAATAATAATAATAATAATAATAATAATAATAATAATAATAATAATAAACAAAGCACCGGAACATCAGAAAATAATCCATAATGCAAAAATAAAACCAAAATATAAGAAACTCAAAATGCTGGGTCAACACTGACCCAGAACCATGACAACAATGAGACACAGAAGGAGAGCACAACTGGGGGAAATCAGAACTGACGAGACAAGGAAGAAAAATAGGATACACTCACATGAGACACAGACCTTCAAAGTAAAACAGGAAGTAGCACAGACGCAGACTCGACTAGGGGAGACAGAGCAACTAAGAAACACAACAAAGAGACACAGAGGGCAGCTACTAAACAGAAAACAAGAAAGCCAAACTAAGACGCTAGACTATAGAATAAACTGGGGCAACAAAGAACTCACATTATAATACAAAAACTCCGAGACACAAGAAACTCAAAACACTGGGTCCGACCCAGGACCGTGACAGTACCCCCTCCGTAAGGGCTGGCTCCAGACAGCCCAACAGGAAAAACAAAAACAGTCCCAAAACAACCCGACCAGGGCGGGCAGGGGGGTCCAGGATGGAGGGCTTGGAATGGAACAAAAAACAGGAGCACAAAGAGGGCAAAAACAAAACGTGCACAAAAAAAGAAAGCACTGGCACACAGAGAACGGTTTACAACTAATTCAGGGGGCCGATCGTGCGGATGGCAACTGCGGCAACAGGGAAACAGTTCCAGGGGCTGATCCTGCGGATGGCAATGGCAGCAGTGGGAAAACAGTTCCGGGGGCCGACCGTGCGGACAGCAACTAAGGCGGCGGGCAAACAGTTCCGATAACCGGCCACACGGAAGGCAGTGGCAGCGTTCAGGAGGTCATCCACAGTGGCGACGATGCCCAACAAGCGGCCTGGCAGATGACCGACGATGTTGAGGCTGCGTGGCCTCCGCAGCACCAGGTGAGGCACAGGCTGGACCAGGCGAGGCAGAAGCCGAAGATGAGGAAGACGACACAGGGGCTGAACTTGACGGCAGCGTGACGGCTGCGGATGCTGCAGACGGCGATGCTGCTGGCAAGGACGAAGACTCGGAGGCTGGACCAGACCAGCGGAGACAGGTTGCTGGCCGGGCTCAACAGAACCCCCAGCGAGACGAGAAAGTGCTAGCCGGGCTCTCCAGACCCCCCGGCGGAGACGAGGAAGTGCTGGCCGGGCTCACCCGAGCTTCCAGCAGGAGAAGATGCAGGGCCAGAGGGTATTGGGACCCCTGGCAGAATGTGTAGCCGACCAGGTGGGAGAGTGTGCAACAGACTAGGGGAGTGAACTGAAGACTGAACTGGCACAGCGGATTGAACTGAAGACTGCAATGGAGGTTTAGGAGACTGAGCTAGTGGCACCTGGGCAGGAGAGAGAACAAAAGGCAGTTGAGCTGGGGACTGCACTGCAGGTGACACTGGACACTGAACTAGTGGCTGTAGTGGTGGTTGCGGTGAGAGTGGAGTTGGTGGTTGAGTTGATGACTGGGCTGAGGGAGACTTAGCGGCAGACTGGGCTGAGGGAGACTGAAGTGATGGTTGAGGTGAAAATGGAACTAGTGGCGGAGTTAACGACTGTGCTAGCGGGGACACAGGAGACGGAGCTAGCGGGTGCTGTACTGGAGTATGAAGTGGTGGGAAAGCTGATGCCTGAGCTAAGAACTGGGCTAATGACTGAGCAAGGGACTGTAATACATATTGTAGGGGCTATTGTAGCGATGGCAATTGTGACAGAGGCTGAGCTAACACTTCTGAGCTTTCTGAACACGAAGAAGATGGCTGGACAGACTTGCTTACGCTTACAGTGGACATGGGAACGGGTGCAGGCTTCCTCCAGACATGAGCTGCTCCCACCTGAGGAGTAGGTACGGGTGCAGAGGTAGGCTGTGTACTGGCTGCCCACACCTCAGGGACCGGCACTGGTGATATGGCAGACCAGCCAGTCCCACCTGAGGAGTAGGTACGGGTGCAGGAGAAAGCTGAGTCACGGCTGCCCTCACCCTCGGGGCCAGAACAGGCACTGGCAATGGCTGAGCAACCATGAAGGTGTTTCTGCCACCCTTCTTCGAATGAGGCAAAGAGGCTGGATAAATCGAGGTTCCAGGATTGTATGGAAGGTGATTGATTCGTGCATAAGTTGCAGAAAGTATAGGGCCAAGTTATGCACTCAGGTGATTAGTGATCTTCCTCTTGTATGCATTACACCAGCAGCCCCTTTCGAGTATACACTACTTTGGACCTGTTTGGTCCGTATTTTGTCAGAGACTCAGTAAGGCGACGAGTGAAGAAAAAAGTCTGGGGTGTAGTTTTTAGTTGTATGGCTTCAAGAGCAGTTCATGCAGACATAATTGAAGGTCATTCCACCATTCTCCACAGGAACGTAAGGAGGCTGGTGGTGTTACTGCCAGTAAAGTAGCTAGAGGGATGTGGTTCGTCCCCCTGACTACCCGAGAAATACTTACATACTGTGGACTCTTTGGTGTGGGGATCAAATCTGGTGACTTTCTGTGTTGATTAAAAACGTGTTAAAGTTATAAACATGACTATTACCAAACTGTACTGTCATTAATAGGGTTGCTTTATTACTCTTGTATGGTTGTTTTATTTAGTGTCTTTCAGTTGATTACCTCGCTTCTGTAAAGGCACAGTTACTGTAGTGGTGTTAGCTTATACTTGTGCAATAAAGCTTGTAAAAGGCAGCAATCAGATGTCCAAGCCTGAGTATGGCACCGTTTCATCAGTTAAAACACACCCTTACAGCACCCACATATCTGAGGACCTATCTTGGTCCACAAACACATCAGCCCTAGTAAAGAAAGCCCAGCAGCGCCTCCATTTCTTGAGGGTTCTGAGATGGAACAGGCTGCAGACTGAACTCCTAGTGTCCTTCTACCGTGCCAATATCAAGAGTGTGCTGGTGCACGCCATCCCTGTGTGGTATGCTGGTTGCACAACAGCTGACAAGAAGAGACTACAGAGGGTCATCAGAACTGCAGAGAAGGTGATCGGCTGTCCACTCCCCTCCCTGGACTTAATTGCCAGCTCAAGATGTCTCTCCAGAGCCAGGGCAATTATAAAGGACCACCTCCATCCTAACCACCACCTCTTCAACATCCTGCCCTCTGGAAAAGGGCTCAGCTCGATCAGGTGCAAAACCAACAGACTAAAGAACAGCTTCTTCCCGTGAGCTCTCAGAACTCTTAATGCAAACTAAGAGTGTGTACAGACTTCCCCAACACATCCACCCTGACACTGCTGTTGATCATCTATGTGCAATATCTCAGTATTTCCATGTTCTGTGGAATATGTTTGGCCCATGTGCAATATGCTTGGTGTGTGCAATATTTTTCAGTCCCGTGAAATATTCTGGTAGAAGTACCATCTCCACGCAAAATGACCATGGCCTCTCCATACTTTTTTATTTATTATATAATGGACATTTTATTTATGTTTCTGTTTCTGTTTCAATGTTTCTTGCACATACACTATGTATAAAGTGTCACTCTCATATATGCTTTTTATTTTATTTTATTTATTTATCCCCCCCCCTTGTTGCATATTGGTTTCTCTTCTTCTTACTTTTGCACATTTGTGGTCCAGCTGCCCAATTTTGCTGTGCAAGAAACTGCACAACGACAATAAAAAGCTCTAAGTCCAAGTCTCTAAGTCTATTAAATTTATTGCTCTTGCAATCATATGGCACGTTGACTTGTGAGGGAATTTTAGATGGCACTCATCATCAGAAAGGTTGCCGACCCCTGGGTTAAAAAGACAGTATCACTCTCAAACTGCTCCTCTTCCTGGAATGAAGCACAGCCTGAAAATCCTCTTTTTCCTGCTTAAACACAGGAACTCCTCTCTCTCCAAATGTTTCCTCGTTCCCTCCCCTTCAGATCTGCACTTTGAAGATGGGTGTAACCAACATGTGGTGACATGTAAGAGCTGACAGGCTCCATTCACTGCAGAAATACAGGTTTTTGAGATCAGAGCTCAGACGAGTTTCAGTTATTACGAAGATAAACTCACACAGTCACTGACACTGAGAGGAGAAATGGCGCAGAAAGGAGTTCAGCTGGACCGAGAAACCTTCTCTTGTTCCATCTGTTTGGATCTACTGATAAATCCGGTGACTACAACCTGTGGACACAGCTACTGCAGGAACTGTATTAAATCCCACTTTGATGGAGAGGACAGGAAGGGAATCCACAGCTGCCCTCAGTGCAGGAAGACTTTCACACCGAGGCCTGTCCTGGAGAAAAACACCATGTTAGCAGATTTAGTGGAGCAGCTGAAGAAGAGTGGACTCCAAGCTGCTCCAGCTGATCACTGCTATGCTGGACCTGAAGATGTGGCCTGTGATGTCTGCACTGGGTTGAAACTGAAAGCCATCAAGTCCTGTTTATCTTGTCCAGCCTCTTACTGTGAGAAACACCTCCAACCTCACTATGATGCAGCTCCATTAAAGAAACACAAGTTGGTGGCGCCCTCCAAGAAGCTCCAGGAGAACATCTGCTCTCGTCATGATGAGGTGATGAAGATTTTCTGTCGTACTGATCAGCAGAGTATCTGTTATCTCTGCTTGATGGATGAACATAAAGGCCATGAAACAGTCCCAGCTGCAGCAGAAAGGACTGAGAAGCAGAAGGAGCTCGAGGTGAGACGACTAAACATCCAGCAGAGAATCCAGGAGCGAGAGAAAGATGTGAAGCTGCTTCAACAGGAGGTGGAGGCCATCAATGGCTCTGCTGATAAAGCAGTGGAGGACAGTGAGAAGATGTTCACTGAGCTGATCCGTCTCCTCCAGAAAAGAAGCTCTGATGTGAAGCAGCAGGTCAGATCCCAGCAGGAAACTGAAGTGAGTCGAGTCAAAGAGCTTCAGGAGAAGCTGGAGCAGGAGATCGCTGAGCTGAAGAGGAAAGACGGCGAGCTGGAGCAGCTCTCACACACAGAGGATCACAACCAGTTTCTACACAACTACCCCTCACTGTCAGCACTCAGTGAGTCTACACACTCATCCAGCATCAATATTCGTCCTCTGAGCTACTTTGAGGATGTGACAGCAGCTGTGTCAGAGACCAGAGATAAACTACAGGACATTCTGAGAGAGGAATGGACAAACATCTCACTGACAGTCACTGAAGAGGATGTTTTACTGTCACCAGCAGAGCCAAAGACCAGAGCTGGATTCTTAAAATATTCACATGAAATCACACTGGATCCAAACACAACTCACAGACGTCTGTTATTATCTGAGGGGAACAGAAAAGTAACATTTATGAAGCAACAACAGTCTTATTCTGATCATCCAGACAGATTCACTGGATGGGAAGAGGTCCTGAGTAGAGAGAGTCTGACTGGACGTTGTTACTGGGAGGTGGAGTGGAGAGGGGGAGGAGTTGGTGTAGCAGTCGCATACAAGAATATCAGCAGAGCAGGGAGGGACAAAGAATGTGGTTTTGGATACAATGACAAGTCTTGGTCATTATATTGGTACACAAACGGTTATAGATTTTGGCACAACTTTGTCCAAACTGACCTCTCAGGTCCTCGGTCCTCCAGAGTAGGAGTGTACCTGGATCACAGAGCAGGTATTCTGTCTTTCTACAGCGTCTCTGAAACCATGACTCTCCTCCACAGAGTCCAGACCACATTCACTCAGCCGCTCTATGCTGGACTTTAGCTTTATGGAGTTGGAGCCACTACAGAGCTGGTGTAGTCTTTACATTTTAGAAGCTGAGAAGTTCAGTGGTCCATTGATGTGTGAAAATAATATTGCACTGATTCAAACTGTACTTACATTTATATACCTTACATCAATATAAATCTGAATTTGTTCTTATGGCTGATAATCATGTGAGTTTAAATGATACTACTCTTTATATTCAGCATGTTTGAAATCTGTCATCAGTCTGGTTAGTGGTTTTATTCTGTAGTTGCTGTAGTGGGTTGTCAAATGCAACAATATATTGGAGCTGCAGTGATTCATCAGTTAGTCAATGATTAGAGAATTGATTGTTTTATCATTATTTTAGTCACATTTAAAGCTGGTTCCAGTTTCTGAAATGTGAAGATTGTTGATTTTCTTGATCATATATGACTGTAAACTTAATGTCTTTGAGGTTTGAACTTTTAAAATGTAACAAAACATTGAATCCTCAAGGTTTTTGATATTAGATTATCATTATTGTATGTAAAGTGATGACATTTAATGTCCTTTTTCGTATGAAAATCTATTCACATTTGATCATTTATACATGTAAATATCAAAACTAAATGATACAGGCCTGAGCTGTGTCTGGCAGGCAGAGCGTCTCCACAAATCTGAAGCTTCTGATTTGGAGAAAATGAGCTGAGGGAGACACCTGGTGGACAAACACAGACATGACAGGAAGAAAGACTAAAGTGCAGAGTGGAGACAAACAGCTAGAAATATTTGTCATGCTTCAGAAAAAAGAGTTGGAATTTTTTTTTTATATGAATGTTGAATATGTTGTATTGGAATTGATTTTTACTGATGGATGATTCGTTGTAAAAAGTTTATTTCTGTGTTATTATGATTAAAAGTTAAAACAAATATATTGTACACTTTTTGAGTGACAGAGGCAGAAATGTCTCTGTCCTGCATGTAAATTTGTCCTGTAAAGTTGTTGAAATAATAAAAAATATAAAATACAACTCAGTGTTGCCTGTTAAGCTAGAGAGGTCTTTGTTGGGAAGATACTTACACAATTCATAAACCAGCAAGAAGACATTTTCCCAGAAACAGAGTTTTGATTAGTGGACTCGACAAACAGTTTGAGGCTGATTTGGCTGATATGGGTGAATATTGTGCAGATAATGATAATGTAAGATATTACTGCCATGTATAGATGGATTTTCTAAGTATGCATGGGTCAGATGTCTTCAAACCAAGGCAGCAGCATCTGTTGTAGCTGCTTTTAAGGATGTTCTGAGTGAGAAACTTCAAACAGATGAAGGCGAGGAGTTTGGTATAATATCACACATTTCTCAGCATAAAGCTTTTACTGTTTAACCTCAAAGCGGTTTGATTTGAGGCCTGCAGTGACAAAATAATAACTCACCCTTAAAGGTGTTAAACCTAAATTGACGAGTCTGTTTTGAAAATGTAAGGAGTAGAAAGTAAAACGTCAGAAAAATAAGTACTCAAGTACAGTAAAGAAATATTTGTACGCTACTTCCTTCCTTCTTCTCAAGGCCCTGATGCTGATTGCCACACTGTGTTTATGTGCTAAAAGAGAAACCGTTTCCTGCCTTGTTACTAAAACTGATTCTGAAGCACAACTTCACTAACTCAGAGGGTAGAGCAACCATTGCAGTTTGTCTCAAAACAACTGTAATCTCCAGATTTTGACTTTTTTTCTAAAGTGAATTACGATTTGAGTCTCAAAACTGCAACTTTATTTTCAATGTGACCCATAATATTTTTTTTTAATGTGGCCCTAATACAACAATGCAACAACAATTAACTCGAGAAGCTTTATAAGGTAAAGACCCTACAATAATGCAAAGAATACAGAGAAAACCTAAGAGTCACATGACCCATTATGAGCAAGCACTTTGGTGACAGTGGCGAGGAAAAACTCCCTTTTAACAGAAAGAAACCTCCAGCAGAACCAGGTTTACCAAGGGGTGGGAAGTTTTAAGCCTGATCTTAAAGCTAGAGAGGGGCTCTAACTCCTGAATCCAAGCTGGAAGCTGGTTCCACAGAAGAGGGGCCTGAAAACTGAAGGCTCTCCCTCCCATTTTACTTTTAAACACTCTGGGAACAACAAGTAGGCCTGCAGAGCGAGAGCGAAGGGCACAAATGGGGTGATATGGTACTACAAGGTCATTAAGATAACACCGGGCCTGATTATTTAAGACCTTGTATGTGAGGAGCAGGAGTTTGGATTCGATTCTGGATTTAACAGGAAGCCAATGAAGGGAAGCCAATATAGAAGCTATATATATACTGAGCTCTAAGACACTTTATCGCTTAAGGATTTGCACATTTCACGAGGGGTGGGAGCAGCTTGAGCACCTGAGACTTCCTCCTCAGGCTCATCAGATGTGTCTGTCTTCTGATTGATGCTCTATACCGTTGTCCTTCTCAGAAACTGGATCATGCATATCGCTATTCTGACCTATGTCCTCTGCCTCATTAGGAAAGTTATGGCCGAGAACCTGGCTTATTGTGTCTTTATTTTCTCTTGCTGAAATCTGGAGTGTGTACTCTGTAAGTCACCATCTAATCCTAGCTGGCCTGTACATGCCTTACATGTCTGCATATTTTCTTTTCAGTCTTTGGAAGCAGAATATTAGTGACTACCTATATATAAACAGGCAAAGAGAGAAGGTCCTGAATAAATTCTCTCTCTGTGTGTCAGAGAGCTTTCAGTGTGTTTATGATATCAATTTTGGTAGTATGTGTTGTTTTATAGTAACAACAAAGATCATTATTTTTGTCAGACTATTTTATAATGTTGTAAAATTTATTTATTTATTTGCTTTGTTTTCTTTAAATAAAAGTTCCATACAAAGTCGTAAGGCCTGGATGGAGTGGACACAGTTAAACTGTACCTTTATACAAACCAGGTGAGAAATTTGGGTGTAGTGATGGACGCAGACCTAAACTAAAGTTCTGATGCTGGTCTATAAAGCTCTGAATGGTTTAGGACCAAAATACCTCAGTGACCTCCTGACCCAGTATGAACCTTCCAGATCCCTCAGGTCATCTGGATCCGGTCTTTTATCAGTTCCCAGAGTCAGAACCAGACATGGAGAAGCTGCATTCAGCTTTTATGCTCCATATGGGGCAATCGTGGCTCAAGAGTTGGGAGTTCGCCTTGTAATCGGACGGTTGCTGGTTCGAGCCCCGGCTTGGACAGTCTCGGTTGTTGTGTCCTTGGGCAAGACACTTCACCCGTTGCCTACTGGTGGTGGTCAGAGGGCCCGGTGGCGCCAGTGTCCGGCAGCCTTGCCTCTGTCAGTGCGCCCCAGGGTGGCTGTGGCTACAATGTAGCTTGCCATCACCAGTGTGTGAATGTGTGTGTGAATGGGTGGATGACTGGATATGTAAAGCGCTTTGGAGTCCTTAGGGACTAGTAAAGCGCTATATAAATACAGGCCATTTACCTTATATCTGGAACAAACTCCCAGAAAGCCTCAGATCAGCTGAAACACTCAGTTTATTTAAATCCATGTTGAAAACTCACCTGTTCTCAGCTGCATTTGACTAAAACACCAAATCCACACTTTTAAGCTTAAATTTCAAAACTTATATTTTAACTACTGATTTTATCTACTGTTCTGATTGTATCTACTGTTTTTTTAATCAATTTTAAATCATGCTTTTTAATTTGTTTTTCAATGTCTCTGTAAAGCACTTTGAATCACCTTGTTGTTGAATTGTGCTATATAAATAAACTTGCCTTCCCCTGCCTTGCCTTATACCATACAGTCAACAAATGTGAATATAATTTTAAATATGGCTTTATTGAAGATTATATAAAGATGAACATGAAAGGTTATTTGGTGAAGAATGCAAAAGATAAAAAGACAAAAATATAATGTACAGTTAATTTGCTATTAATTAGCCCTCTTCCGAAAAAATAATAAAGGCAATATAACTGTGACTCAGTTTTGTAACTATAATCAGAGTGTAGATTTCGCCTCGTGTCGCTTTGTGGCGCTGTTTAGAATTGATTTCTTTAAATCCAACAGAGCGCTTTAAATCCTTCAGGTAAACAACGTGTGGTGACCTTCAAAATAAAATACCTTAGAATTTCTTTGGTAAAGGTTGAGTGTCAGAACACCTGCTGGACATTATTTATTATTGAATTAAAGCGAATTATTGGTGAATTAAAGTTTTAATCGAGCATCACAGACTTATAATTAAAAAAGTAAAATGCTTTTATGTCGCAGAGTAATAACCGGAACTAACAGTCCACATTTCCGTAACTTTACCAGTGGACCGTGGCCCAGTCAAAACAATGCAGCCGCGCTGGCCTGCTGCTGCACTTAGCTTTAAATCTCCAACAACTTATTAACGTGTGCGCGCACTCAGCCAACCGCCTGGTGCTTCACTTCGGTGGGCTCACGTTGCGTCACTCCTGTGGTGATTTCTCCTTTCAGTTGTGCGCATTTAGGAGTTTTTTTCGTGGGTGTTTCTCATCGAGTTAACGGTGGAGGCTGGAAATGGAGACTGCTAACAGGCGTCTGCTGCTAGGTAGCCTGAGAGTAGAGGAGGGGAGCGGCTAAAAACAGGGATTTTTTTTTCTTTGGTGTGAAAAAAGGGGAGTATCAGCGAGTTAAACACGCTCCTGGTGGTTTTGCCTTGTAGCATGGTGGAGTAGGAGGCTCCAGCGTTGAAGCTACCGGGCTCCTCCGACCTACCGACACACAGCTCGCTCTCACCCCGGGGAGGCTCGTCATGGCCCCGGGCTCGCTGGTGGCGGCCTGCCGCAGCCTGGCCCTCTCTACGTGGCTGCTCTCCTTCTGCTTCGTCCACCTGCTGTGCCTGGACTTCACCGTGGCCGAGCGGGAGGAGTGGTACACCGCCTTCGTCAACATCACCTACGTGGACCCGGCCACCTCGGAGCTGCGCACCGAGAAGACGGAGTGCGGGCGATATGGCGAGCACTCTCCGAAGCGGGACGCCAAGGGGGTGTTGGTCCTGCCCGCAGCACCGCTCGACCGCCAGGCCTGCGACCCCAACACCCGCTTCGCGGTGCCCGCTCAGGCCGGGGCCTGGGTGGCGCTCATAGCCCGGGGCAACTGCACCTACAAGGACAAGATCCGCCACGCTGCAGCCCACAACGCCTCTGCGGTGGTCATCTTTAATGTGGGCTCCACCAACACGAACGACACCATCACCATGCCAGGTAGATGATGCGCTGCTTTATTCACCCCAATAAATGCGCATTTAACTCGATTTCCTCCCTCTGAAGGAGGCTTTGTAGAGCTTTTCTAAGTTGGGTAGTTTGCTGCTGGGGTGAGCTATGGGGATTAAAGGTGACGTGTTCAGTGTTTCTCTTAATTTCTTAATAAAAATGTCATGGAAAGAGTCCAACTCACGAGGTCTTTCTGTTATACGGGATGTGTTGCATCTTTCAGAGTCATTTAGTTTTATGTCAAGTCCAAGGACGAGTGCACTCACACTGGGGACTGCTTTACTGTGGACTCTGAGAAATAGTTGAGGGTAAAATGTAGAAGTGTGTACAGGTTAAGTTGGTGTCAAGTATAAATGTAGAACATAGCCATACTGACACCACCCATTGGTTTGACTCATTTTTATATGTTGTTGTTACGACCCGGCTCAAAAGCCGCAACATAACAAAGGAGACGAATACCAGCATGTAGGTGAAAAGAAGTTTTATCTTAAAATGGCATAGCAGGTTGGCTCAAATGGCTGGG